ACGACCCGTAAATGATATCTAATATACGGTAAAATAGATAATTAAAAAATGTTTGAGAATTTTTACCGAATATGCTAATAATTATGAGTTTTTCATATAATTTGGCATCAAGTTCAACTTCTAGTTTTATTGAACATTGTTTTAAGCTTTGTTAACGGTTTGAATTATTGTTATTTATTGTTTTTAAATTTAAAATTTTCAACCTTTTTAATATTCCATTACTTTTTCTATTTCATATTTAATCCTATAAATTAACTAATAATGTATTGATTAAAATACTTATTTTTAATGCTATTACTTTAATCATATTTAAAATAAATAAAAAATAACATTTGATATTATTTTCTATTAAGGGGGTGTTTGAGATTGCTTATAAAAGCTGCTTTTTAACTTATTTCAGTCTGGCACCGATGATAAGCTGTTTTCTGGTGTTTGGATAAGAAAAAGAAAACTGTTTATACCGGTGCCAAACCGGTAATAAGCTGTTTTTGATAAGTTAATTCTTTCTGACTTATGAAAAACTGTTTATTACCAGTTTACAATTTTAACCATGTTTTATTTAACTCCGATTTGATACCACATAAGTTAATAAGCACTTTTACAAAAAAACATAAGTTGTTTTAAATAAGCAATCCCAAACACCCCCTAAAACTATATTAATTTAATTATATTTCTAAAGTTAACGCAAATTAAAAATCACATTTAGGATTATTTGTTTTATGCATATTTTATAAAACAAAAGATTTTTTTTAAGGGTGTTCAAAGCTATGCCTACACTAATACTGACAAATTGTGACCGCAAGAAATCAACTCTGATAAATTCAGTGGCCACAATTGTTGTATACGCATGAAATCGAACCTTGAACAGATGAGATATTCTGCCACATAAAATAATATTAATGATGTTATCAATTATTTAAATCAATATATTCACGAGTATGATTACAATTTAAATGAACTTTGCACCCATTTAATTGTTATTAATAGGAGTTAATCCATACAGTTGCATGCGGAAATCTGGTGGTTCTTAGTAATAGGCCATAATTTTAGAGTTAATAAATTTAAACGTGTTAGAACACTTATATTTATGGGGTCTTTAAAAAATTAGTTGACAACTTCTTTCTCTTGAAAACTTGATCTTTCAAGGATAGAAACCACGAGTGGATCATTGAACAACGGGTCACAAATCAAGTCGAATATCACTAAAGTATCAGCAAGAGAAAATTTCCTCGTAAATTTGTCGCTAAAAAGGTCTTCCGTCGTTGACCTGTAGTTGATAGTCCGTCGGTCAAAAGCTCGTAGATAATGCTATCAGCAACGGATCAACCTATAACTTCAATGAAAGAGATGTAGTGGACCACATGTTATAATCAAAACATACAAAAATCAACAACGGATTTGCGAGGGTTACTTTCAGCGACGGATCAGCGAGGCAACAGATTCAACGACGGATCAGAGAAAGAACTTTCAGCGACGGATCAATGAGAGACCGGGAGGGACTTTCAGCGACGGATCAATGAGAGACCGGGAGGGACTTTCAGCGACGGATCAATGAGAGNCCGGGAGGGACTTTCAGCGACGGATCAATGAGAGACCGGGAGGGACTTTCAGCGACGGATCAATGAGAGACCGGGAGGGACTTTCAGCGACGGATTTTTTCTCACTAATCTGTCACTAATGTTAATTAATCTAAAATTAATTTTTTTTATAATTACATAATTTTTTATTTATTTAGACAAAACTTGGTCATGATATAACAAACCAAACTTGTGAACAAATTAAAACTAACCAATTCATACGATTTAAAATATCCAATCACAATTTAAAATATCTAATTCATACAATTTAATGTTCAAATTCATACAATCTAACTACCGGGAGGTGGAGGAGGGGGGCAAATGTATCTTGACTGCCGCATAAACGCAACAAAATGCTCCGATAAGGCAGCCTGTTCGGCTAACGCAACAGCTTGTCTGGCTTGTTCGGCTAACGAGGCAGATTGTCAGGTCTCCAAATCTATCGTATTCTTCCGTTCAGTCTCCAGTTCCTCCTATACCCTTGCCAACTTCTTTCTCAACTCCATTACCTGTAAATATTCAATATTCGACAAAATTGGTAATTTGTTCGCAATTTTAGTGATGAGAAAGTATATAACAATATAACCAACATACCTTCGCTCTTGACTCGTATGATCTCCCGGTGCTACTGTTACATCTACCCGTCATAGCATAAGAAGGATCCTGGGAGGTCCCGAAACCAAAGATGCGGCCTTCCTCCGTCCTCCAACACTCTGTACCAAAGAGATGCCTCATCAGGGGAAGGGCTGTCGGTACTAGACTGTGACTCATCCCTAAGCGATTGAAATCACTCCAATGGTTTACCAAAACAAAAATGAGTAAGGTTATATATGTATAAATTTCAGCAACATAATGGCTGTAAATCAAACATATCAAATGCTTGTTTTTAACAATAAAAACATTCTAATAATACCAATGGTAGTCACGTTCTTAACCTATAGAGTTAGCCTAACGTCTGCCCAACAATGATAGCCCAAACTAATAGCATCACTATGTTTATTAAAATATATTACCTTAAACCTACCAAACGTATCTATTAATCAAAGTAATGGTTTTAGAAAACTTACATGATACCTACCAGCTTCTAGATAACTGAATTGAGGAGGATCGGTAGGCGGATCAGACGAACCTTGATCAAACTTTTGGTTTGTGCAGTGAGTGCGCTCAAACACCTCAGTAGTAGTCGGCTAACGACCCATTAGTTTTGCCTACATTAGACAATTAAGTTAAGTTGTTAGTAAACATAGAAAAATGAATTACATATTCAAAAAAGATTATATACTCACCATCCTGTCGATGTTGTACAGTGTCTGGACGACACCCCCTTAAACTATGTGTTTCGATTAGCCCTATTGATCATGGATTTCCTTTTCCAAGGCTTGGAATCCTAAACCTATTAAAAACAGAGCACATATATAAGGCGGTACAAAACACATGACAGTTCAAAAAGCTCACAATAGTCAATAGAGATACATATCTGGTCAATCATCTGAAACCAAAACCTCTCTGGGAGCCATAAAGGACGGCGTAATCTAATATGTGGGAAGTCCTCATTGTCCCATTGTTGAGCATCGGGATAGGCCTGTGCCACGACCCAGTCACATGCAGTGCTCATCCAATCTGAGTACCTATTGTGCATGGCTTTGGTCTATAAATCATGAACCATGTCATCCAGATCTGGTTCCCACTGGAACTTAGCCTACATACACAATATTTGTATAAATGTAAAAAAAATAACCTTATATGTATAATTACATTAAAATGGTTCACCAACCCGAAACCGCTGAAACATCAAGTCGCGGGCTTCCTGAGGGACTTCCTTCCATCTATGTCACAGACCAGCAAAGGAACACCTAAATATAATCGTCATCTTCCGGATAACATGGGCATCTTTAAACATATACAATTAAAAACATATTTACAACACAAAAAACATTCATATCATTTTATTATGTAATACAAAGTCTTATACCACATCTACTTACCGATTGCCTAACAAAGAAAGATGTCTTCGTTAGCTCGGATGACTAGGTGTCGGCATCTCATTGTTGGGGTCTCTCCCCGACCTTGAACCTGTCGGAGCTGGGGCCTCCATGGCCACCTCTTATTTACCTGAATCCCGAAGGGCAGTCTCAATGAACTCAACAATGTCATCGGCGCACGGTTCGCCACGCCCACCAGTAGAGTTGTTGTCCCTACCAGACATCAGGCTACTGCGACTACCATGACGGCCTCTACCGCGCTCTCGGCATAACATCTCCTGAAAAAACAAAAATTAGATTATATCATGAAAAAAAAGATAATGATAAATCACGATTATATGTACAATTGTGAAATAAACATACAGAAGACAAGCTACTCATCAGAAGAATGATCAGATAACATCGGTTCATCTTCATCATTTGAATCATCATCTATGTCTTCAAATTTTGGTTTATCCTCGCTATCTTCGTTTCCTGGCATATCGTCACTATCATCGTTCAATTCGTCACCACCTTCATCTTCATTAATATTATGGAATATGTTTACCTCCCCTGTGGCAAGATGAACATCATCGAGCTCGTTTCCCAATGCAAACGTTGTATGAGTTATCCTTTCGTCGCTGATACCTTGTTTTCTAGTAGTGTATTATAGATATTTTAATATGATGAAGGTGTATAAAACTAAGGAATATAAAATAAATTAAATAAATAACTATAAACATATAAGTATTAAAATAGTTATTATTATAAAACACTTAATTTTTTAACCTATATTAATCAATATATAATGATGTGTATTAATATAATAAATATGTAAAAAAGAAGTAAATAAATGATATAAAATAAATTAAATAATAAATAGTTATAAACTACAAAATGTAATTTGATATAATTGAATAATTCATAATAGAAGGACCAATCATTTAATTGTTTGGTTTGGATGAGAAAAAAATTATAGTAAAAAATTGTAAGAACAGAGGAATCTTGTTTGGCAAATTTTTTATTTTTTAATGGTTCTAAAACTTTTTTAATTATTTGATTTTGTATCATATATCTTCTTTAACCATTCAACACCATAATTTTATTATAAACAATTATATTTCATTTTATATTATATCATAAATTTTGTTTAATTATTCTGATCATTTAATCATTATGTATCATCCATTCCCTAATTTTATATCTTTTGGAAGCATGTGGCTAGCATGGGCCATGAGTGTTTACTTGTCAAAACAAAACACCTCTCCCTCTCACCTTAGCAAAGATAGAGCCTGGGACACGTGGCCCACACACCCCGCTATCTCTTAAGCACGGAGATCATCGCCCTAATATATGGGTCCCACGATCACAGTTTTATGTAAATATACAAATAACCTGAAATGACAATACTACCCCCACCCCCTTTCTATAAATTTCAGCACTCCCCTTTGATCATCCTCTCATGTTTTGAGCTGTTTGTTATCATTTTAGAAAGAAAGAGAAAAAGAGTGTATTCATTTATTTACTTATTTAGGAGATAGTTGAAAGATGTTGGGTGTTTTCAGTAGTTCAATCGTCTCACCACCAGAGGAGCTGGTAGCAGCCGGAAGTCGAACGCCATCACCGAAGATCACGGCCAAGGCGCTCGTGAACCGGTTCGTTGAGAACAACGCCTCCACGGTGTCGATGGAGATCGGAGACGATGTTCAATTCGCGTATACTCACCAGAACGAGTCGATCACTCACCCGAGGTAACCGAATATCTTCCAATAATATATGAATTTTACGGTTCCTAGTGTTGATTATTAGAATCTTAAAGTTGATTGTTAAACACTGAAAGCAACAACTCATCTTGTTTTTTCTTGGAGGATATAATTTTAATGTTTTCAGTTTTGTTATATATAAATATTTATAAAATAAAAATAAATCTCAAATTTATGAGTTTTCTAAAATCGAAGAAATAAATTATTTTAACTTTTTAAAACGAATAAAATCTAATTAATTTTTTCATATTTTAAACGATTAAATCTCTAAACATTTTTTTAACCAAGTTTTTATACGTATAAAAGCGAAAGTAGTATATTATTTCACAATCAATGTATAAAGCGTTGGGTTCCGATAAGAATGAAAGTTATGAAGAATATGGTAAGAAGAGATTTCTATTCTTGGATTAATCGTAAATTGAAGATCAATACTGATATGGTGTACGGATCTGTAACAAATCAATTTCTATGATAAGCTTAATTTGTAGGGTAAGGTGGGATTCAAAGCGATCAAGGGTCTAGATCATTTTTTATAATTTTCATTTTAACTTTTATTTTCATACGATCTATCAGTTGTATTTAGTTCAATAACAGAGTACAATAAACCAATAAAAAAACTATTTTCATTTAAATCTGAAAAACAAATAAGGGTTAATAAAAAATGGTTTTTTTTGTTTTATTGGTTTGTTGTGTATTTCTAGGGATATGATGATATATGGACAAAGAAAAGGTAAATATCTTTTTATTTTATAAGTGTAAGGATTTAATGGTTCAAAAAAAAAGTTTGACGGACCTAATCACTCAAAAAATAATATTCCGTCTCGTTTTCTTGGTTTTATTGAGTTCAATAATATATTTGTTTGATTTCAGGAAGTTTAGGAATTTATTTGTTTAAAAAGATTAAGCAATTAATTATATTGTATCTATCTATCTATATTATATTATAAAACATTTATGCTAACCTATTAAAAACTCTTTTTTATGCATTAAATACTACTTATTAATGCATATTACTTAATGTTCAAGATCACAAGTTGATTAAGCATAATTACAACTTATTAAAGTTTCATGTTTGTATTTGTGTTAATAACTGTAAATAAACATAATAAATATTAGAGAAGCATTACGAGATGAAACATGTATTTTTTTCCTTTTTAAAATATCTTAAATTTTTAACATTCTTCATATAATTAACCGATAGACACAAGAAAAATCCAAGATAAAATACCTCATTTTTATTTTTATAAATTAAATCATAATTAAATTAAAATAAAATATATT